AAAGGAAAGGAAAGGAAAGGAAAGGAAAGGAAAGGAAAGGAAAGGAAGATATTCTTTCCTGAGGAGAGGAAAGATACTGTGGATACCCTTGGAAAATCTGAGAAATATCAAGTTAAAATGCTGGGTGAGACTTACCTCTTTGGAAAATCCACTCCATAGGATCTTATTTTCATTGATAAATAACCTTTCTCCTTTTTTGGCATAAACATTATAGTGTCCAACCTCCTCAAATACAATGGAGCCATCTTCAGGGGACAGATGCCAATTGATAATTGAATAATTTCCTATTAGGCCTCCTGACTCATCAAAATCCACTTGCTCCCCCATATTATTAGTGAAGTTCAAGTGTCGCAGATGCTTCAGTACCTAAAAAAGAAAAGACCCAGAGATGCTAAAAGTGATCACTGCTGTGAACGAGGCATCGCTGGAAGAGGGCTGCCTCACTGCCACCCTAAATAAAAACAATAAACTTCTTGAAATAAGGAGAAAATAGAATGGAGATTTTTGCTTATAAAATACTCCTGTGTGGTTCCTATAATTGTAATCTTTTTTGGGGGGAAATTTGCATGACAACATCACTGCTTATTTATTAATTACTAGCCCAAGTCAATACAGAATAGATACAAATAAGAATGTCCCAAAGGTGCTGTTTTCAAGAGGCAACTGGATTTTCTTTTTTTAAAGACGTTTCGCTTCTCATCCAAGAAGCTTCTTCAGCTCTAACAGGATAGTGAGGAATGGAAAGATTTATATCCCTTGCAGACAGCTCGTACTTTGCATCCTTTTAGAGGGTTCTTCAACAGAGCTAAAGAAGCTTCTTGGATGAGAATCCAAATGTCTTCAAAGAAAAACCAGGAAGTCCAGTTGCCTCTTGAAAAAAAGCACCTTTGGGACAACCATGACCTGGATTGACTGAGACTCTCCATAGACATTCAAATGAGGACAAAACAAGAAAAGACTCAGACAATAAAAACATTAAACACTTAAAAACACTAACCAAACAAATGCAAACAACACATTAACAAGTTCAGAAAATGATATTCCTATCTCTCATATGGCAATTGCTACTGAGCAGAATTTAGCAATCCACTTGATTATTTTTATAGACAAAAAAGAAAAGAAAAGTGTTTACCTAGCTGGACTAGTTCAGTGACTAATAGGGTTATACTCCACATAATAACTGCGGCTAGAATTGTCTTTGCACAAAATTGGAAACAGAACAACACCCCCACAAAGGGTATGGTGATGAAAAAAGGTGCTTGAATATGCAGAGATGGATAGACTAACAATGGAATTAAAAGATAAAGAAGAAATGGCATATTACATGATTTGGGATACATGGTACGAGTGGTTAGAGAATAGATGTAAAGACTATATATAAGGTTATTTAAGATCAACAGGAAATATATGTATTTGTGAAAAGGTAAAATATAAATGTAAGAATATCGACATAAAAACAGTATAAAAGGAAAGGAAGAAAAATGAAAATACTAATGTGTAAATTTTGTGTGATACTGATACTGAAGCACTGTAAAGATTGGAAATGTGGTGTAAATGTTGGAAAATATTTTTTAAAATATTTTTATTTTAAATAAAAATATTTTTTAAAAAAGATGAGTGACTAATAAGCGCCCTGTTAGACCGAAGTAGCTTAATGATATGTAAGAGAGCACAATGAAATATGGGAAATTAACTATATTGCTGGTTTTGACAGAGAGAGCAAAGGTGATCTTGAGAGACTATTCTTCTCCAGAACGACAGATGATATAGCATTATATCTAGCTAACTAACCAATGTTTTCTTAAACAGAGCAGAGATGATATTAGTAAGTTAGTTGGCTACTTTCAAAGTTCTTCCATATAAACCAATCTTAAAGGAATAGGGAAATAAACGTTGATCCTTTTATAACTCAAGTGTTCAAAATACATTGTTTAATCTCTATGTTTGCTCCTCACATGTTTTTTGAAGGAAGAAATTGGCTACAAGGTCACAGTAAAATGCCTTCTTTCCAGCAAAAAAGTAAAGCTATTAGCAACAATTAAGGTGGTTGAAAAGTAAGTAACTTACAGACAGTACTTCAGTTGGCATTTTCTCATATGAGCCTCAACAGAGCAAAGACCACATTTCAAAAGCAAAAGGGCATATGATACGCATCAGGGGATATAGAGAACCACTGTAATATATTTGGTTTTTATTACTTCTAAAGATCTTTCTTCCCTATACATACAAAACTGTGTGCCGTAGAACAGAAAGCTCAGCATTTTGGCTTTCAATAATCTAATGGTGACAATGTATACAATTATTGCCTCTGCAACTGACAAATCAGTTTATTGCAATTCATAGCTTTAGAAGTTTCAGCAGTGGTATCTTTTGTTTCTTTGATGTTGTCGATTATTGGAAGATGATTCAAAGACATTTAGAATCTTTAACCCACTCAATGCAGGTATTGTTTATCTTCTAATTATGACTTCAATTAGTGTACCTCTTGATAAAGAGAATTATTTAAATTTGAGATAATATCTATTTTTTATTGGTGCAATAAACTCCTAGGTTTGCAGACAATGCCTCAAGCCATCTTGTGTCAAAAGATAAAATAACTGCATAGTCAGCATGTAACAGGATGGATATAGGTTTCTTTGCCAACAACAGAGGGTAAAGCTTGTTTTTTAAAAAAGCTTGAGTAATGGAATTAATACAGAAAAAAGTAGAACAAGTGTGTAATCTTGTTTAACTTCTTTTTGAGTTGATCAGACAAGCCTATGGTGGTGGAACACTAACCTGCATGAAGGTATTTTCATGTAACATAATTAAAGTAAAAAAGTGATTTATGGTCCAGGATGCTAATTTTGCTCACAGCCTTTCCCTAGGTAAAATACCATCTTTAAGTCAATAAAAGAGTCACATACAGTATCCTGAGACAGGTCAATATGAATGAACAAATTTACCCAATTTATATCATTCTCATATAGCTTAGAATAACACCTAATTTGAATATGTCACATTGGATGCTGATTGATTTATTGTCCAATTCAAAGATTTGTTTACCACCTTTAAAGCTCTTTATGGTGTAAAATTAAAGCACATCATCCAATACCAAGTCGGAAGTGAGGTACTTATGGCTCCAACTTTGCTGACATTTGCAAGCAAGCTATACAGATCTATTCCATAATTCATATCATTAATTTTATTGGCATTTACAATGTTTTATTGGCATTTACAATTATTTATTATAATGTCATTGTAGAGTTGTTATTGTTTATATTGTTGTATCCTACTCAGATTCTGCTAGGATTTAGGCAAGATATAAATAATGTTAAATAAATGAATGGGTTAATAAGTAAATGGCTAATTGATCTGAAATTAACTTAATAGCTTACCTCCTTTCTTAAAAATTGGAACAGTTATTGATCAACACCACTCCTCAGAATAGGAATGGAAAGGTTGATAGTGATAAAAGCCGAAATCAGAAATCAAGTCAACTACCCCTTCAGCTTTGTCATTCTTCACTCATTTAGGTATCTTGGAAATGAGAATAAGTAATAAATAGGTAGTTCAAATGAACTCAGTTGAGTAACAGCTTCATTAAATACAACCCCAAAGTGCTCTGCCTAGACTTCTTATATGTATCCATTTCATGTATTCATAACTATGTTTATACTTATACCTGCTATCTTATAATCGCTTGACAAAATAAATAAAATAAAAACAATAAAAAAAATTATGGCCTCCTTGTCCCAGAGGCACCCTTAGGAGAAGTTGAACCACAAGACACCAAAATTCAAAAGAGCTTTAATCTTTTTATAGTTTGTACTAACTTCCTCCAATTAGTCGTTTGCACCTCCCGTTCTCTTCTTTTCAACATAGACTTCAATTGTTTTTTTTCAAAGCCAATCCCCCTGATCAAACTCTTACTTCTTATTTCTAAGGTCTCTTCATTTAATTTGGCATTAGCTTCAACTCAAGCATGAAAATCAAACCATGTCTCAGAGTTAAATTTGGATTTGGAATTTTGACCATTAATTAACCCTTGTACCATCCTAGATTTATTGGGAAAGGATTAGTGCACAAGTCTGTTGCATTATGGAGATTAAAACACTGGAGACAACCCCACCCCACAACTCATTAGATATTTTATTAGGGGCTCCTATCTAAGGGAGTTTTACTGGGAAGTTATTTTCTGACCTGCAAATCAAAGTATTCACTGGGTAATTTTGCTGAAAGAACAGAGATTGATCAATATCAGGATAAATACGTCTTAAATTCAATTCTGTTTAATAGGCTTGAGAATACCAACATACAATTGATAATGCTGACATTTCCACTACTCTTAATTTGGCTCCCCTTTGATCAGTGCATTTAGAATAAAGCATTCAAATTTGGTAGTCATTTGGATCAAGCTCCAAGGCCCATAATTAACTTTATCCTGCTTCAAATAAGATAATATGAAGACAATACATGTTATTTCATTTGAGATAAATGATTTCCTATATAAATCCAATCCAGCACTAAATCATAAACAAGGATTTTTTCAGCATTTGGCTGCTTTAGTAACAAATTCAGCAGATTCCATCATTATAGTGATATATCCAATATCCAATATACATTCAGTGTATATTCAGTGTACAGTGCATATATACAATATACATTCAGTGTACATCCAATATACATTCAGAAAAAAACCTGACCCAGTGGGATTTGTACATACAGTAAGTGCACTTTAACTTGGATGGCTCATTCCTGCTATTAATTGTTGCTCTCTCTCTCACACACACACACAGACACACAAAGAAATGGAATTTCCTATTCTTGAAAGTGTGGTAGTAATCATCAGAGATGATAGGGAAAGCTTAGTAAAGATATTCATTTTGTGAATAGAGGTAAAATGGAAGATGAAATGAAATAAGTATATTTTCTATGATGACCTGATTCATTCTCAAAATCGCAGATTATCTTATTGCAAAATAGAGATGTGAGGAAGTGAAGGATCCCCTTTGTTTTTCCAATGACTTAATAGCTTTTGTTTGGACAAAAGTATTTGTGTCAGCCTTTGTTTAATAAAATTCTCAAAATGGCTCCCGGTAGTAATAAAAGCATTTTACAAAGCAGCATAAGACATCAGAGCAGTTGGACCAGAGAAAAAATGCTAAAAAATACCATTGGATTAAAGCCAGGTGGGAGAGGCTACTTTAGTGAAAGAGTTCCTGTGAAGCAGTGTGATACCCATAAATACCCATGTGCACATGGGAACTCCCAAATCTGCTGATTTGTTTCTTATTTTTTATTTCCAGAAGCTAGCTTGCTCTCAAGTAAGATGGCCTGTCTTAGCTCTGTTTCCAATATTATTTGGGGATGATACACAGCATCTT